TTAAAGAAATTAAAAACAACATATTTTGCTTATTCTATAAATACTTAGGAAGCATCTGCTATGTGCCAGATTCCATTCTAGGTGTTGGGAATACAGCAGTGAATGAGCGCCAAGGTTGCCAATGTTGTTTACAGTCTAGAGCAGGGGTCAGCAAACTTCTCCCGTGAAGGGCCAGATAGGAAAATATTTTAGGCTTTGCAGGCTATAACGTCCCCATGGCAACTACTCATCTCTGTGGTGGAGCGCAACAGCAGCCACAGACAGTTTGTAAGCAAAAGCGGAGTTGTGTTCCAGTAAAACATATTGACAGGAACAGGCAGCAGGCCAGATTTGGCCTACTAGCCATAGTTTGCCAACCCCTGGCAGACTACCCTGGCAGTCGTGTCCGACGTAGCCACGTAACGTCAATCACACGTATAACTTAAATTTTGCTAGTAGCCACGTTTAAAAAAAAAAAGGAAGAAACAAGGATTTATTTTCTTTAACCTGCTGCGTCTACAGTATTGTCATTGCAACACGTGGCACTGGCCACACTTCAGGCGTTCGATGACCACGCCTGTGACCAGTGTCTACTGAATGGGGTCACAGGGCTAGAGAGGCAAAGCAGCCCATAAAGAGGGTGGCAATGAGTAAGTTGGAAGCCTAGGAAGAGAGTAAGGTACTGGGAGAAGCAGGAAGAGGTGGCCCTCTTCCTAGCAAGGAGGCTCCTCTCAGAGATGTTGTTTGGGGCCGAGAAGGGACCAGCCAGGGGAAGAGCATTTCAGGCAGAGGGAACAGTGAGCGCAAAGGCGTGGAGGCTGGACCCCATCTCGCAGAATGGAGACGGAGCGGGCCTGGAGGTGGTGCGAGATGGGGCCGAGGGGGCGGGGGGCGGATCACACAGGGCCCTGGCACTGAAGGGAGGAGCCCCTGTTTGCATCTCGTGAGGTGGCGAGGACTTCAGTTGGAGGGGGGCCTTTCACATCCTGTTCGTTCTCCACAGGATGGATATCTTGCACCAGGTTGCCATCTGGCAGAAGAACTTCAAGAGAATTGTGAGTGCCTTGGGGGGGGGGGTGCGGCGGGGGGCGGGAGGCCGAGGGAAGCTCCTGGACTGCTAGGCTCAGGCCTTCTCTTCTCTCCTGAACCATTCACCGATGGGTTACTTGCCAGGTGTTTTCTGAACACCCATTGTGCATTAGATGAGACACTGTGCTGGTGGACGAGACAGGCACGATCTCTATCCTCGCGAAACTCGTAGTCTAGTTGGAGAGGTGAACTCGAGTCGAGTAGTCATGCCTGTAAATACATGATTAGGGAAGACGTCCCAGAGGAAGAGACGTTTAACCTCGGGTGCGTAGTAGGTGCTAACTAGGTAAAGGGGGGCAGTGGCGCTAACGGGAGCGGCACGTGCAAAAGTCCTGCGGCAGGGACAGAAGGGAGCCTCGTGTGGTCACAGAGGTCAGCAGGAGCGATGGTGAATAGTTTGGAGTTTTTGTCAAGTGCATTGAAGAAGCCGTTATCAATCAGGATCTCTTTGTTTCCCTTCTGCTTATCTCAGAAATCTAGGGAGTCCTCCTCCCTGGTCCACCCTGGTCCTAGAAATGAGGTCTTCAGCCTGGCATTGGAAATCCCTCACCCCATACCTCTCCCCGATTTTCTCGAGCCTCTGCACACACCTTTCCCTATGCCACACCTTCCTTTCAGTTGCCACCACATTGAAATCATTCAAAAACTACTGAGCGCCTGCTGTGTGCCAGGCAGCAGAGAGGCTGCTGACATTCTGGAGTGGATGAGGGAACTCCTGATTTCTTTATCCTTCACTCCCTCCCGAAGTGCTGTGTGCTTGTCCCGGCCCCCTAATCTCTGTGCCTCCTGCCGGGCTCCCCAGCGGCAGCCCCAGTCTGCCCGGCTCGCTGCTGTATTCCCAGGCCTGGTGCCTTTAAGCCTCGACAGTGTCTGCCTCGGGAACCTGACCCTCTCCTCCCTTTGTGCCCGCAGAGCTACGCCAAGACCAAGACTAGGGCCGAGGTGAAGGGTGGGGGCCGGAAGCCCTGGCCACAGAAGGGCAGTGGGCGTTCTAGGCATGGCAGCATCCGCTCCCCGATCTGGCGAGGAGGTGAGCGGGGCAGGGAGGGGAGGGGCCCTGGGTGATTCTGCGCACACATCTGGGGTGATAACTCATCAGTCCCATTCCTTCTACCTGGGCAGGGGCAGCAGGACTCAGGCCCACGGACCTCACTGCCCATGTGCGGATCAGAGACCTGAGAGTCCACCTTCCCAGCCCTCCCCAGCTCTGGCCTTAGCGTCTCTCATCAGACTATGGCCACAGCCCCTTTTGGCCCTAACTCCCGTCTCACTTCTCGTGGCCCACACTTCACACAGCACCCAGGGTGCTCTTCCTAAACCTCCCAGTCCCTGTAGCCTTTGTAGGAAGTCTGAGCTCCCTACCTTGGCATTCCAGGCACGGGTGCCTGCAGATCCCCCCCACCTTGTCCCTCCACATCCTCTCTGACCAGACACAGCTGATTCCGTGTCCTCTCTCACCTCCCGTGGCCAATGCCTCTCATCCTTATGATGTGTTTGGGCTGTGCCTCCCCCAGGAAGCCCTCCCTGACCTCCTTTGGGCCCCTGACCCCCAGCAACTCCTCGTGCTGCTCCAAAAAGAGAGCCCCGATTCCCTCTGCCGTTGAGCCTGTGTCTGAATATGAATGACATGAGGGCAGGGCTCCTGTCCATCTTGTTCCCTGCCGCACTCCCAGGGCCTGGAAGAGGATCCCCACTCAGGGTTTGACAGCTGAGGAAATCGAGGCCCAGTGAGGCACAGTCACCTGTCCCAGGTGATCCTCAATCCAACATCCCCTCCCCATCTCTACCCGAGGCCCTGTCCTCTTTGCCGGTTCCGTTTGCCTGCAGGCAGCCTCCCTACACCAGCCACCGTGACCGATTTCTGCCCCCAAGCCCAGCGGGGGTCCTCACCTGTTCGCACACCTCTGTCTCTGCAGGAGGCATTGCCCACGGCCCCCGGGGCCCCACGAGCTACTACTACATGCTGCCCATGAAAGTGCGGGTGCAGGGCCTCAAAGTGGCTCTGACTGTCAAGCTGGCCCAGGTACAGGCCCGATCCCGCCAGGGGCCGCGGGGGGCCTAGGGTGTGGGCTGTGGGGGCCGAGCCGTGGGGGGCTCAGACTGTCCTTTCTTCCTAACAGGATTACCTGCACATCGTGGACTCCCTGGAGCTGCCCACCTCGGACCCCCAGTACCTGACGGAGCTGGCCCGCTACCGCCACTGGGGGGACTCCGTGCTCCTGGTGGACGTGTGAGGGTGCGGGGAGAGCGGGGGTGGGGGTGCTGGGTGCCATCCTCTGCCGCGCTCACCTTCTGGCCTCCGTTTCAGAGCACACGAGGACATGCCTCAGAACGCCGTGGCCGCCACCTCCGGGCTCAAGACCTTCAACCTGATCCCGGCCGTCGGTGAGCAGAGGGCCCTGGTTCTTCATCCTAGGCCCCCAAGAGTCCATGGGCCAGTTCAAGTTCTATACCTGCCACTCACTCAGCAGCTGAGTGGCCTTGGGCAGTGGCCACCCTCCCCCAGCCAGCCCTCAGCTTGCCCAAACGGAGCACTGGGAAAATGGCATCCTTAAGGAAAGGCTCTGAGGTTGCGTCTTTCCCAACTTGGGCCTCGGTGCTCGGCACAGAGTAAGCGTGAGGGCTGCCGGCTCTGCTCATCTGGCTCCTTAGTCAGAGAGGCTGAGAGGTGGGATCCATCCCACCCGTCACTACCTTGACTCGGCCCCAAGAGCTCTCTCTTGGTGTCCTGATTGAGGTCTGGCTGCCTCCCTGACAGCTGCTTCCGGGGTCGGGGGTGGGGGTCTCGTAGGCACCTTGGCAGGCACCTTGGCACGAGAACTCCTTCCTTCCCGTGGCTCAGGCCACAGAGCATGCCGTCACCCTCTGCTCCCGTCCCTGCTACCTCCCCCTGTCAGCTCTGAGTTTAAACAGATCCAGAATTCGACCACTTCTTTCCACCCAGCACCCCCATCTCCCTCCTGGACCGGTAGGGTCACCTCTGCCCTGGTCCCTGGTTCCTGCTCCGTTCCGCACTCTGTTCTCCCCTGCGGCCACCAGAGGGCGCCCGTGCGACCCGAGTCCAGCTCCTCCCGCCTCTGCCCCCAGCCCTCTCCGGGTCCCACCTCCCTCTGGGTCAAAGCCCAAGTTCTTCCCCAGGCCCACAGGATCCCGCACGACTTGCCCCATCCTCTCCCTGCCCTGGCCATCCCCCCCCCACCCCCTCCACCTCCCGACTAACCGCAGGTGCACAGGCCTCCCGCAGTACATTGTTTACACATCTGCTGTGGTTATGGTCAGTGCCTCCCAGCATGAGGTGGGAATCACAGCCCGAGCGCAGGGCAGGGCCAGGCACGCAGGAGGCTCTCGATGACAAGTTGGGGACAGTCCCTTGCCCAGGGTCTTGCCATCAGTGAGCAGCTAGACTGCAAGATTTGTGACCCCACGCCAGACCGTGGTGCCCCTAGGGGAATACGGGAGGGAAAGGGACCCCGGGTGCGGTAGGGCACCCCAGCCTCTACTGCACCTCTTCCCCCGCCCCCCAGGCCTGAACGTGCACAGCATGCTCAAACACCAGACCCTGGTCCTGACCCTGGAGACGGTCGCCTTCCTGGAGGAGAAGCTGCTCTGGCATGACTCCCGCTACACGCCGCTCTACCCCTTCCGCCTGCCCTACCGGGACTTCCCCTGAGCCGTGACCCTGTGCACCTCAGGGCCCATCGGCCGCCCTCTCCCTGGACCGCTCCACGCGGGCACCTGCTCTGAGCCGGGCCAAGCTGCCAGCGGGCCTGGGAGCCTTGTGCCCACCCTATGAGGGCAGAGCCGCACCTCCCCAACCCCCCCCCCCCATCCCAGTAGGAAGCTGAAGGCCACACAGAGTGGCTGAGCGGTGTCACTACCAGGAAGAGGCGACTTGGCAGACAGCCCAACTGAACTTTGGCCCCCATTTTCTCTTTCATTTTTAAGATCAATTTTATTTTTTAATCAAAGGAGAGAAACAGAACAGCACATTGTCATTTTGTAAATAACTCCACGTGGCAAGTCAAGCTCTTTCCGGAGTGCTAGGCGCTGCTGGGTACCTCTCCTGGGGACAACCTCAGGGCTGTCGATAGCAGTGACACAGTCAACCTTCCCAGGGCGACTCAGACTCGAGGAACCAGGGGCGCTGCTGTCATTAGGAGCCCGCTCCTGGTGCGTCCCCGTTCCCAAGCACTGGCACCAAGAATTCACGTCCCTGATGGGGTTTGTGGTGCCATCGGTCATGGTCCTTCATGCCAAGCAGTGGGTTTGAGTCTAAAAACCGGATCTAAAAATGGGAAGTGCAGACCTGAGCTGTCGTCATAATGATTTCCCCTAAGCAGAGTCTGAATCCATGTGGTCTATAAATGAGTGAATAAACACATTTTTTTAAAAACACCAAACCAGTATCCTAATGCTTTTTTCTCTTCTATTTAAAAAAAAAAATTTTTTTTAAGTTTTATTTCCTTATTTTGAGAGAGAAAGCACAAGCAGGGAGGGGCAGAGAGAGAATCTGAAGCAGGCTCCACACTCCGCGTACAGCCCAGTGCGGGGCTCGAACCCACAAACCACGAGATCATGACCTGAGCAGTAACCAGGAGTCAAACAGCCAACTGAGCCATCCAGGCACCCCCTCCCATTTTTAATGTTTACTTATTGTCACGAGAGAGTGCGCAAGTGGGTAAGGGGCAGAGAAAGACGGAATCTGAAGCAGCCTCCAGGCTCCAAGCTGTCAACACAGAGCCCATCGCAGGGCTTGAGCCCACGAACGGTGAGATCATGACCTGAGTTGGACAGTTAACCGACAGAGCCACCCAGGCGCCCCCCCAAACCGGTATCCTAACTCTTGAGTCTGCTGTTTGCTCCCCCAGTTAATCTTTAAAAACAGTCCTAACACAGACTTCGATGTGGTCAATCTCTTTAAAGTTCTCCAGAACTGCCACCTGTGGATGTAGGCCCGGCCAGGCCAGGTGGCCGCAGTGACCACCCACGGGCTGGGCTGCCCCTGGCCAAAAACATCTCTGGAATGCCTCTCTAGGGAGTGCCTTCAGAACTCATAACACATTCTTTGAAAATCCTCTGCGGATACAAACTTTGATCCCTTAAAGCACCAGATTTGACTAAGTAAAAAAGCCACTTGGAGCCAGTAGTTAAGAAGGGGTGCAGAGGGCGGGTGGGAAAACATTGCTTGGGCCAAAGCCAAACTGTTAACCTACCTCTCCCTGCGCGTCTGGCCGGCCACGCGGGGACACGAGGCTTCGGGTAAGACCCGGCTGTTCTGATGGTGCCCAGACTACTCTAGATCTTTCTAGCTACAAGTAAGGCCGTGGAGTTATCTACCTTACAGCGGTCAGGCAACAGCAAGGCCAACCTCTGCTCACATAGACTGAAAAGAAGGGTCAGAACGTGTCCCGCCGCACCAGAGACCCCAGCCAGACCAAGGATGGAGAAAGGCATTAGGAAAACGACCTGATTGGGGCGCCTGGGCTCTGTGCTGACAGCTCAGAGCCTGGAGCCTGTTTCGGATTCTGTGTCTCCCTCTCGCTCTCTCTGCCCCTTCCCTGCTCGTGCTCCGTCTCTGTCTCTCTCTCGAAACTAAACATTAAAGGGGCGCCTGGGTGGCTCAGTCGGTTGAGCGTCCGACCTCAGGTCACGATCTCGCGGTCCGTGAGTTCGAGCCCCGCGTCGGGCTCTGGGCTGGTGGCTCAGAGCCTGGAGCCTGCTTCCGATTCTGTGTCTCCCTCTCTCTCTGCCCCTCCCCCATTCATGCTGTCTCTCTCTGTCTCAAAAATAAATAAACATTAAAAAAAAATTAAAAAAAAAAAGAAACTAA